TTCCGAGTGTCTGCTTTGCATCGATGGAGCAGTCACCCAGTTGTAAGCGAAGTGCGTTTTCGCGTCAAAAGCGGACCACCTTAGCGATTCTAAGCTAGCACTTACATCCTTTCTTCACTAACATAGCGCATCCAAATCTTCTTATTTCTGTAGCGAGTTGATGTTTTGGATTTCAGTACTGGTTGGACATATTGAGGTCAAGACGCGCTGACTTTGGTGGAGTCCTCTTCTGTGCCCCATCTTTGGTATTGCTTTAGCGGCAAAGTTTATCAAGGTATTTGTTCCGGCATAACCATAATTTAGAGAGGTTACAACAGTGAAGAATACCGACGATTAGTGTGGTCCTCTTGTGAGAGAGTGATGTCTGGTCTGGGCGATTCTTTACCATGGCGACTTGCTTTTTACAATGCATGGGATCAATGGGGCCTACCGCTCAAGGACTCTATCAAGATGCAGGTGATTTTATATTCTATGTTGCACCCTCCATCAATCTCAATTAGTTGCTTAAGATAGCAGTTAAACCAATGTCATTTTTAAGGCAAAACGTCTTGCCACTCAAGTGTCCAACGACAAACTTATGGCTGTTGTACCTATCTCGTCGTTCATTCCCGACTTTAACACATTTTCTGTTCTTCCCAACCTTCTTCAAACAGTTGTAAGTTCAACAGCGATTGTAGTTTTATCTGAAGTTAAGATCTTTATCTATTATAACATGGCATATTTACCACCATACCAATTATGATAGCAGAACAAGGGAATTGGGAAAGCGATTGTAGTAAGGACTGGGTTTCAGATTTAAGGCACGTTTTAAAGTGCCGTACTTAAAACTGGACTAGAGGACTGCATATCCTCGCTTTGTCAGTTTTATGCTCGAAGACTGATGATTTAGTCTATAATAGCGGTCTTCATGAAGAATACTACTGCAAAATGTGACCTTACTTCATCTTATCATGGCTGTGATCTTGTTCATTAAAGTCTGTAGGACCAAAGTTATCTACCTTTTCAACTGCCACAGTGGTCCTCTTGCTAAA